CGTCATCCCCGACGGTGCCTTTGGCCTCATTCGATATCATCTTATTACCCAGCGAGAGGCCTTAGCAGCTCGAAGCCAAGAACTATTCCCTGATCCCAGCCAGCCTGGAGTCTCTGCGAGAGTGGAATCTTTGACGTGGGAGAGACTTATGGGTAACAAGTTGGTTTTGGATCGTTGGCAAGAGGTAAGATACATGCCATGGCTTTCATGATATATTATACTTACAGTTCTGCTTGACAGGCATTGGCCGTTATGGCTCAGCCCAGTTACGTCCCCGAATCCCTAAAGGAACTCGCAAAACTTTCCGACGAAATCTGGTTCCTTGCTGGTGACAAGGCCGTCGACCCTTCATGGTACACCAAGCGTGCCACCCTCTCCATGATATACAGCACAAGCGAGTTGTTCATGACCAACGACCGATCCCCCAATTTCGTCGAGACAAGGCAATTCCTTCAGCGAAGACTAGGCGAGGTCAAGTCCGTCGGTGGTATGGTCGGATCGTTCGGTCAGTGGGCTGGTTACACACTCAGCGCTGGTGTGAACATACTAAGGAGCAAGGGCGTCAGAGTCTAAGAGGGCTGGCATCTGCCAAAAAGAAAGAAATGGTTGTAAAATAATGTATGAGTCGTGTGTACCATGATCTATGAATAGAAGCCTTAGCAGGCGCATGTTGTAATGACATCTAACGCTGGCGTTATCTGAAGGCCAAGGGAGGCATTGCTCAAATCTGTACAAAATCCATTCCGACAAAGTACGCTGGTATCACTCCTAACAAACTCCACAATGCGCGAGTGCTTTTGTCTGCCCATCCTCTAAGCGCCTCTGTAAAATTGATGTTCCGCATGACGCCCGACTCCAAGATATCCATGTCGAGTATACTGTATGGTTTACTGGAAATCGTCAAGTGTTCGTTGACGAGGATCCGTCAGTCTGGAAAGCTTCATCAGTACTCAATCTTGCAGCGAATTAGGGGATACGAACCGAATGATCTTGACATCTTTGTCTAATCGTGCCCGACCTTCGATAGCATTAGGGGTAATAAGGATGTACTGTCTTGAGACTGAACGACGGGCAGCGTCCACCTATAAGATTCTTTGTTAGCTGCCATCACCTCTTCAACCTCTTCCACGGACGGCTACTGCACTACTAACCAGCATGTTCGTGCTGATGGCACGATTCACATTGTCCATGAAGACGTCAAACTCGTCAAGACAACGGATAGGCGAGCCAATCGCCTCCCAAACTGATAGAAGCATGCAAATAGATGAAAAGGACTTTTCACCGCCTGATAGAGTCTTTGTATTCCTTCCAGCTGAGCTTTTACGCGTCTCATCAGGCTCAATCTGGAGAAAGACCTTACGCGCCTTATGGTCAAGGTCAATTTTGCCTCTGAAACCTCGCTCACTGAGAAGGTAATTGAACTGAATGCGAATTCGCGCACTAATCTGCCGCTGAAATTTGCGCCAGATTTGTAGACGGTTCTCAATAGCGCGTTTGAGGGCCTCAATAGTATCGTCAACATCTTGTGTCTGTCTCTGAACATCTTCGTATCGCTCGCGAGCTTCGGTTGCACGCTCATAAATCTGTTGGTCTGTTGCTCCAAGGCGTGACTCTCGCTGCTTGATTTGTTCCCGGATTTTGGTGTATTTCTGCTCAATGCTGCTGTGTGTCTCGTTATCTGGAATGTGAACTCGCTCCGGCGCTGTTTGCCTGGCCTGCTCTGTGAAGTTGGCAACTTCTTCGGCCTTCCTATCCCTCTTTTCCTCGGCACGTCGCCGTTCGTTTTTGGCGATGTCGAGACTCTCGAAAGCACCATTCTTCTGTGCTAGGACCGCCTTCCTCGTATTCTCAGCAGTCGCAACCTTCTGTGCTGCTTTGTCGACTCGGTTTTGCCAGTCCTCTTGCTCGTTCTTTTCCTCCTCAAGCTTTAGCCGGGCCTTCTCGGTCTTTTGCTTCAGATCTCGCTTCGCCAGTCCCATTTCTCCATACTGGTTTCCAAGCTGCTCCTCCTCGGATCGTCTCGACTCGAGCTCAGCTCGCAATATATTGAGTCGATCATCAACGCCTTCGAACGCATCCAACTCCATTTGCACACGTTCCATGTCAGCTTGCGTCCTACGAAGATCGCTCTCAAACCTCTTAACATCTTTCCGCTGGTTGTCAAGCTCTGTTCTGCATCGCTGAACTGCTTGTTGAGCCTGACGCTCGTCGCGATTGATCTCAGCCATTTCCTGACCCAAGTGTTTGAGGTTTTCTTCTTGGATCTCAACCTGCTGACCAGAATCTGTTTGCATCCTGGGACGCATTGTGTATGGTTGGACTGGACTTGTACCAACAGATCCGTTCCGGTTGGTGAGTCTGAGGCCCCATCCTCGCTTCCCACGTCCATCGTGAAAACAGAGACAAGCACCGACGTTGCGTGGAGGCGCGCTTTCAACCATGACCCGTTCAGCTTCCACTCGATCACGAATAAGAATAATTTTCTCGATTTGGTTGCCGATAATGAGCTGAGATCTGACGATGTCGTCGTCGAATTGAAGAACGCTCAAAATAGTATCAAATCTAGGATCAGGCTCCTGATTGCTTGTATCAATTCTACCTCCATAGGCAATGTAAATTGGGGGCTGCCTCTTCAAGCGAAATCGGCGCATCAAATTTGCGAGTCTCGTTTGATCCGATTTACTCCTGACAACGAACGCATTGAGTCCTTCTCCGAGTGTTCTCTCTAATATTCCTGACCATTCCGGTTTCGACAGTCGGATGTGAGCTCCAATAGGTCCGACAGGTTTCTGTTCCCATCCTCTCTCATTCTCGATGGCTTTGACGAGGTCCCTGGTCTCTCTATCATAACCATCGAAACGGCCTCCAGTAGCGGCCTTCAGTTCGCGGACTTGTTGCTCCACAGACACGATCTCTTTGCGTTTGAGGTCTTTGTTGTGTGAAAGTCTCTTGGAGTGTTGCTCGGCCTCGCTAAGTCGCCTTGTAAGGTCAGGGAGCTTGTTTTGAATCTCCTCTATCTGTTCCTTCAACAGCCGTTCCCTCTTTCGAGCGTTCTCTAGTTCGCTGTCCTTTTGTGTGCGGGCATTTCCTGTTGATTCGCCCAGCCGGCGTTCTTCGTCCTGGATTTTGCGCTGACAGGCCTTCATATCGTCTCTGGCTGTCTTCAGGCGTTGGTAGGCATCTCGTTCCTCCATGAGCAGCTCTGACTCCTCCTTTTGTGCCTGTCGGTGTGCAGCTGCGGCTTTGTCGATGCGTTCCTTGAATGTATCTCGATCACTCTCAATCTCTTCCTTTGTCTGCCAAAGCCTCTCGATCTTCTCATTGACCTTGTCGAGAGCTTGGGTCGTTGTTTCGCAGACTTTCTCCGCCTCGGTTATGCTCTCGGTTCGTCTAGTGATTTCCTTTTCGCAATCCTCAAGGAGACGTTCCTGCTCCACAACCTGAGACCAGACCAATTGATTGATGTAATGTCGCGCCTTTTCGCGAAGATTCTTGTTCTTTTGCGCGGCTTCGGCGAGTCGGCGTGCGGCTTCCATCTCTTTTTTAACCTCTTCGATCTTGGTGGATAGATCTTCTCTGAGTATGAGGGTCTTGTCGAGCGTATCTTGTGACATCCTGTAGTCGTTGTCCAGCTGCTCTAGTTGCACACCAGAAACGAAATACTTGTACTTCTGGGCCGGAGTCGCCGCGTTGAGAAACTGTCGCGCGTTGTCCTGTGACAGAACGGTGAGGGGGTTGCCGATCTGTAGGGCGTACCATTCTGATATTTCATCGATCTCCTGCTTCTTGGTTGAGATGATTCTGCCCAGTGCGCTCTTGATCTTGAAACCACTACTTCCCGATTTAGAGAAATGGCGCTCGACAATGATGGTTTCGCCATAGATATCGGGTTGGTAGGCATCTGAGCCGGCATTCTTGATCTTGACGACCAAACTGCCTTGCTCGCAACCCTCCTTTACAAAAGACTTGAGACTTCCTCCTCGGTTGGTATCACTGGCCTTGCCACCTAGGCAGAGTGTTAGTGCGGTAAGAACAGCACTCTTTCCACTACCATTCTCCCCAACGATGAAGTTGATAAGTGGCCCTAGGTCAACATGCAATCGCTCGTGGCACATGAAGTTAAAGCAGGTAATGCTCTCAATGATACCACTCTCGGATACCACATTGTTGCCGAGGTTGATGACCCGCTTGGCTAGCTTCTGAGTCGCTTGCTGGTCGTCCCAGTCAGCGTGCTCTAGATGTTTGAAGCCGTTGTCTCGCATGATCTCGTATTGTGTCTGTGGCGGCACGGCCATATTTCTACGGTCTTCGTCATCGCCGCTTTGGTCGCTCGGTGTGTCTTCTCGTTGAGACGTTTCTCTCCTTTGTCCGTCGTCTACAGTTACCCTGGCACGCTTTCTCTGGGATGGCACATGAGTTAGATGACATGCTGCATTGGGGGTGTGTTGGTGTGTTCCTTACGGTATCTTCTCTCGAAAAGTTAGATCGTGCTTGTCGTACATCTACAATGACATCGTCCTCTTGTTCAACGTCTCGCCGCGATCTTTTGGTAGGTGCCATGACTGCGATGCGCACGGCGGCCTCGCGATGAGGTGATTGGCAAGATCGTTAAGTTTTGTCGTATAGAATCAGAATAAGCTTCTCCGGTATAGGTAGTAGTTTTCAGGCTGTCGAGAACAAGAGGCGATAACGACTGCTTAATCTGTAGGTAAGTATCCCTAAGAAATGTTGCGATCAGACATGATCAAAGAATGGCAGTTGCGTCCGAAGTATCCCACTATACGCGTCTGGGGTCGACGGGACGTGACAAGCGTGTCTTGTAGTGGGGACCTTGTCCGTAATAGGACTAGTGTAGATCTGCCCTAAATGACACAGAATTCCAACATCGCCGCAAGCTGCTTACCCGGTAGCTTCCATGTATAAATAAATAAACTCACAACCCCAACGTCTCCCTCGATAGCTCATCAGGATAAACTTATTAATGGCATCGAACAAAAGTCATGTCATTCAGGTCACCAATTACAGAAGAGGAGGAATTCCCTCAAGGAACAGGCGATGCAGGGGAAACGAACTTCAAGAATCAACTACCAGATAATTGTGTCGAGTATCTTCTTTTTTTCTTAGACTCTCATGTCGATACTCGCAAGCAGCTAGCACAAATCGAGAATGTCCGAAAGTCGGCCATAGAGCTTGCTGCCACCCTCACCAAAGACTACATATGGCAAAAAGATGAATTTAATCTGACTTTAAAAAACGAAAAGGGTGAGTGTCATACTTGCAAGGTTCACCACTGTAAAGATACCCTACTAACACCTATGATAGGACTGGTGTACCTTCATGGTATCACTGACTATAGCGATGCCGTAGAAGATGAATGGCTCATCGTATATATCCTAAGAGAACTATCAAAGTCCCATCCCAACCTCTGGATCCGGGTATTCGACACGGACGGCGAGTTCCTCCTAGTCGAAGCAGCCAATGTGCTGCCCAGATGGCTGAACCCCGAGATTGACAACAACCGAGCCTGGATTAACAAAGGAAGCCTTCTTCTTATCCCCGTCAAAGATGAAGAGGGTCTCAGAGCTCGCAATCTTGAACTACCGGATGCAGTTCAAGTGATCAAAACGAAACGCGATGCACTTGTCCACTCAGGGTTCGTCGAAGCCGAAGCCTTCTACAGACTTGAAAAGTACCCGGGGCAGATCAGTGAATCTCTACACCATTCTCTCGTTACGATACCAAGGAAGTTAGCATATATCCTCCACTCCCTCCCTAAATCGGTTGCTCCAGCAGTCGAAGAATTCTATCTCCGAGATCCGATCACCTTGAAACGTGTCATCTCACCACCCCAACCATTAGCATTCCCTCCAGAAGACCTCATAACAATGTCTGTTCGGTTTAGCAAGGTACTTTTCGCTCAGTTGCGATCCCAACGGTTCGATGCCCCGCCGAGCTGGAGCGAAGTACTTCGGAAAGCGCAGAAAGAGGCACCTTCAGGCGAGGCAGACAAAATCATGGGGAGATTGGATATTGGGATCAAGCTTACATGTGGATTCGAAATGCTGGCTGCAAAAGCTGAAAAGAGCAAAAGCAGAGTTGCCCGTGAGCTCGCTATTGAACTCGAGGATCTTGCAGAGGATGGCGACGAGGCTCTCCCCTCAGACGAAGACATCAAGGCATGGAAGGATCACGACCGTGATGATAGCGAAGCATGGATGGACATCAATTACCAAGACTTCGAGAAGGAATTGGATGGAAAAAGAGAAAATGCTTCCTCCAACTCAATGTCAGGATTTGGAGATGCGAATACACAATCCGATCTTCGCAAGATTGTGTCTCGCTTCGAAGCATTTCTGAATGACGACAGTGCTGGCATGGACGGTGCAGAACTTGACGAAATGGATTATGATGATGACGACGAATTTGACGAAGACAGCGAGTCCGAGGATAAGGAGGTTAGCTTTGACGAGGAGGAGTTCGCTAAGATGATGAGAGAAATGATGGGTCTACCATCCACAGCCTCAAGCACAAACACAGCAAAGAAGTTTGCGACTCACCCCAACCCCCCTGTAATTGACGAAGAGGACGAAGAGATCCAGAAGCTCACCACGGAGTTCGAAGCAGAGCTCAACGAGCATGGTGCACTCAAGCTTGACTCTGTTGAGAAGCAACCTCGTCTGAAGAATGCAACTCAAAAAGAGGGAGAGAATAGCCTAGCAGACATCAAGGAGGAAGAGGAGAACAGTGAGGAGGAAGTCGATATTGATTACAACCTGGCAAAGAACCTACTCGAAAGTTTCAAGAGCCAGGCTGGTATGGCTGGACCGACTGGTAACTTATTGGGAATGATGGGCTTTCAGCTACCACGAGACGAAGACGATGAGAACGAGAAGGAAGATGAAGAGACTGGCAATAATTCAGCAAAAGGGAAGGGAAAAGCACGAGTATAGTTTGTCGATGTACACGTTGCTCATTTATTTTCACGAGATATACTCCTCATATCCATCAATGTTTTAGTGAAGTGATCATAATATGCGTCTATTCGTGTATTATTCGTACCACTAACCAACAGCCACCAGCCTGTAAATATGGCCGTATGTCATCAGCACTCGCTATCTTCGTCGCTCTCTTGACCAGAGCGCGGCCTCTTAGCAGGTGACATCTCACCGCTCATACGTCTACGCCGCTGCTGGCCCCGATCATCAAGCTCTTCAAGCCGAGCCAGCACGTTGCCGAGATGTTTTCGAGCTGCAAGTTCTCGCCTGCTGCTGTCGGTCTGCGGCCTGTAATACTCTCCCACTAGAGTGACCACTGCGTGGTAACACTCGTAAAGCAGCATGCGAAGGTGCGCATTGTCACGATCTTCGATGATGCTTGCCGCTGTTTCCCCTGGTAGTGGTTTATCGAAGCCTCGCCAGAAATCATCTGAGGGTAGTGGTCGTCTGCTGAAAATGGTGGCCATGAGGGGATCGCCGAATACGCAGTTGCTCCATTGGCGTAAACCCGTTACTTCGATGGAGTTTTGGCTTGACTCATCTGTCATGGTATATTCCTGCTTTATCTTGGTATCATCCTGAAGGACTATCCTGTAGTCATGTTGCCCCTTTCCACCATGATCTGATTTCCTCGATGCCCCTTGTCCTAATTTCTGTTGCGACTGGGCCTCTTTAGGGGGCATATGAGATTTCTTGTCGCTTTCGTATGGGCGGTGTATTAATGTATTGGAGTCTTCTCCGGCATCCAAGACAACTAGTCGCGGTTTTGTTACTGCATCAAGCAGATGTTGGAAACGCTCGAAGTGGTGTCGAATGTTATTGTAATTGAACATGATCGTCAAGTCCTCACCATCTCGAAGGACTGATTCTAACAGGCTATGAAATGCTACTCTCCAGGAGTCAGCACCTTTTGAATCAGTCAAGCTTCCTTCAAAACGTCGTGGTGGGTGATGGACAACTGAAGGAGGTATTGACAGAACATCAGCGGCAATACCAAATCTCCTGGTTGGTGAAACCTGGCTGGAAATCCGACGGAGGAGTTGGCCAATTTGGAAGTCCACTATCCATTGCTCACGGGAGTGTAGTGGTTTTGACAATGTGGACATGGGAGTACCTCTTGGCGGTCGGATGAGGTTATATTCAACTGGTAGTACACCGCCGATAGACTCATGCCGAACAAGGGTAGGCAAATATCCAGCCAACAATTCAGCATTGGTTTCATTCCCCAAAGTGCTTCCAACTGTCCTGCTTGTAGGTTCTTTAGCCCCGGCGCCGGAGCAGATTTTCCTCTCTCTCGCAACAGCGGAAAGCCACTTGAGCACAGCAGCTTCAGTACCAAGGGTTGACTTCTCAGAGCGTAGCAGCCGTATAACTGCAGGTGGGGGCAGCGCCAATAGAAGACTCGGGCCCTCTGTAACCTTGACATTATAAAGACGCTGCAGTCGAGCCGAAGGAATAACCTCGAGTTCCTTTACTGCCAGACGAGGGCTGATGCCGTTGAGTAGGGAGAGGACAGAACTCTCTGGCGGGGCAGCCGCCATGGGACTGAGAGTAGAGGTCGAAGAAGAAGAGGGGGGGATAGAGGCGTTTGGAGAGGGATCAGTAGAGGTCAAGTTTCGGGCCGAACGGGGGATATTGTCATGTACAAGGTTGCAGCTTTTTTGCGCAACACAATGGCTCAGGAGGGGCAGATTGCCGTCTTCCCGAAGGGTGCATTGGTACGACATTCGAGTCATAGGGAAGAGGATATATATGTAGGATGTGATATTCAGGAGAATGGCTGATCTGATCTGATGTATGGGGCGAAGCGTCAACGAGTCAACGAGGCGAAAGAAGTCGCAGAGAATGGGTTTAACCAGGCGGTAGCCTCTAGTATAGAGAGGAGAGTGAACAGTATGTTCTATTCATGCCTGACAGGATACTCTGCAACACGAGATGAGACAGAAGTTTCGACAATGGGAGTTGGCAGACTCTTAAACTCGTCGTCTATTATAGCTGAGTAAGGATGACAGATATAGAAGTGCTGACGACAGGTAATTATCTGGAAGGCTGAGTAGATAGATATAGGGAAAGTGGTAGAAAATGATACATGAGAAGGATTAGGATAGAGTGGGTTGGATGAAGGGTGTAGTGTAGTAGTGGAGGTTGTTATTAGCTTCCGCGATACAGGAGCTAGATTCGCCTTCTCGAACGCCTCATGCGTATGCAAATGCAAGAACAACAAAAAGACCGGCAGGCAATGAGAGCTAATCAGAAAGCAGGAGAAAGAGGAATAAGGAGGATTGACAGACAACGGTTGCGCCAGCATATCTCTTGGGTCCTAGAATATGTGATGATGGGTGGGTGTATGTAGTGAGTGGATGAACGACAGATGGAGTAGCATTTACATGGATAGAGACAAAAAAAAAAAAAAGGCGGAATATACAGGGATAGAATGTCACCGCCTGGTCAGCGAAACTGGCCATGACGAGCGAGATCAAGAAACAGAAGCGAGAATCATGGGGAATGCAAAGAGCCAGGTCAAGCCAAGCCAAGCCAAGGGACCCTACAGAGAAGGGTCCACGCTTGCGAACGAACGAGCGAGGGCGGAATAGGGAACCGAAAGACGGGGGCGTAAACGGAAAATGTAAATGGTCGACGTAGCGAGCCAGTAACTGAAGAGGAGGAGGCACTTTTGTTTAGTTTAGTAGTATTCTTCAACAACCTTTAATATCAGTAATAACTAGTCAATCAATGGCTGACTGAGGCTGAACAGAGAACAAACAGAACTTGGCTGAAGTAGATGATGAGCTCAAGCCACTCAGTCATAAAGACAACAGATCAAAGAAATACATACAAAACAAGATAACATGTAAGAACACGAAGCCATTCTTGACCGTATCGTATGGCAATATAACGTCAAGCAAGCAAGGATGCACACTACATACACACGCATCTCTCACGGATAGACACTCGATCCCGCCGGAACGGTGAAGCCGAAACGGATCAGCATCTCCTTGGGCAGTCAAGCAAGCGAAACTTTTTAGAAGACCACAGAAGATGAAAAGTACAAGGGGGGGGGGGGGGGGGGGCTGTTACCAAGTAGAAAGACGCCGCAGCCTTAGTTCAAGCCTCTTTTTGCGCAGGTATTACGCCAAGAGGTGAGGACGGAATAGACTCCGAAAGACTAGAAGGAGGATCGAAGACATGCAGAATGCAAACTGTAACCTCCTGTAGGGCTCTGATTTTGAGCTGAAGTTAGTGGTCTATAGTGTTTGTTAGCTAGTCTCAGAGATCGACATAAAGAAGCGCGGACCGGAACGTGAACCGCAGAGTCATTGGACCATTGGCGAATCTTGAAGCGAGCCATTACCACTATCGATCCCAAGCTTAATAGCACTTCATTCTCTAATCTTACCATTCCCTTGGGATACCGTGACTGACTTTGTATACTTGGTGAGAGCTAATATACATCAGATGACTTCCACACACATCATGCGCCTATCGCCATCACAAGTGCACCAAAGAAAAGAAAAAGAGCGGAATGTCAGACTCTAAATGACGAAGCCTCTGGCGTGCATCGAGAAGCGAGTCGGGAAATTTATGATTGGCTATCACAAGCGAAGCTGACCTGGGTCACATTCCGCTAACACAAACAACCCCTGTCTAGACTCGTTTGTTTTTATACTGCAGCCTAGACTAACACTTCGCTACCATCATAAGTGATCATATTATCGTATCTCATATTCCAAATCATCACTGGTTCCGCTGTCTGTCAGCCCTTTCTTCTTCTTTTAAGCACCTAAAACTCACCAAAACAAAATTACCTTCAGCCACACCCGTTTGCTTTAATTAACACACGGGAATGTACCGGGAGCACAAGGACAGGCCAAGGACAACTGGCCCGTAATTTCGGGGCCGAAATCTGAAGTCAAATCTCTGACGGTCATGGAATTTGGTTCTCGATGTGACATGGCATAAGGTACATGACATACGAGGGCCTCAACCTGTTTCGTTGAAACCTTACCATCGCATATGGATATACCATATCCACTTCAACCTCAACCATGACCTTGATTATACTTCAGTCTCCTTGTCAAAGAATGCAAAAATGTCACCCCTTCATCTCTCACTTCACCGAGTATGGTACATACAAACTTCTTGCCTGGCCTTAGCCTTACGGCACGTCCCACATCCCGTGTACAACAAAGCCACGACTGATCAATCTCCTGAGTTGTGCGCCAAAGCCCATATCTCGATCCCTAATCTTGGGGTAGCTTGAGAGCTAGACACGATAGGTCGAAGTAGCTCACCCCGTAATAGCAGCATATAGATTTCTCAACCGTTGGCCAGCAGACGCTGAAACGCATCATCACTCTATTGTCCTTCATGATACTCTGGCGGAAAATCCCATTCTATTCACCGATATATGCTGATCTTCTCTGTCCCCATCGCCGTGTGACCTTTCCAACTCCTTGGGGAAGCGAAACCCTGCACTTTGGGGGTCGTATTGTTAATCCTCCCTGTTGAGTTTGTTACAAGCCCCAAAGCCCCAAGTGGATTGGATACATGAAATGCTTCGCTATCCTGGCCCGGAAGTTCGGGCATTGAAATCCCATCTTTGCAGATAGCCATGTCATCTTTCCACCGACTGGATGGGTGGTAGGTGTCTGATACCACACCACGTTGAAACCCAAGTGATCCTTCTCGAATCAGACCCCAACGTCTACTCTGTGCAGTCATGAGGCAGAAGGGCCTCGATTCGTCTGGAATGTCCAATACTATCCATAGGCAAACACACCCCTCACACGCGAGTGGCTCAAAAGCTAGCTTACGTTGATTCCGCAACTCCCTCGCCTTTAGGCTTTCCCTTCTGCTTCTTATCCTCCAGGGCCACCTTGTACAGCTCATTGAGGTTGTAACGCTTCAGCTCCTCGCTCTCCTTGCCATCGACAACCGAGACTCCGCAGAACGTC